AAAGAGAAAATTTTGGGCCCATCTACTTTTCATTCATAAATATGTATGTTTTCATAGTATAATTTCTAAGTATACTAGTAGAAAAGAAGCTATTACACACCACACATTGTTGGTTCGCGCGATTCTTGCCCTTTTCTGACTGCTTTCGAAGTCAGAAATCCCTTTTGAGACCACCAATCAACTCATTGGCCTCTCATCTCCAAAACCCTAACCTTTCGAATGCTAATTACGTGCCGTTCACTGCTCTCTACCACATAGGTTTCGCTGTTTTTGTGCCAATTTTGCCTGATTCTGGTGGCCAAAATCTAATCTTCCACCACCCTTTCAACCTCCAACCTCCCCTCTTCAAAACCGCTCAAACTTCGACAGTTGGTTACTCACCATTCGTCAACCGTGAATAACGGCGCCAAAATTTTGTTAGACCGGTCGTCACGGTCACAAAATTAAACCTAAGTACCGTAGTTAGTGGTAAGCAGGGTCGAATCCACAGAGAGCAAGACTAACGACCTAATGTATATTTGAGTTAACGAAAGAGAAATTGGCAAAATGATTGATTAAAACTAAGGAAACTAATTACTTGCAGGAAATTAAAAGCATTAAATAAATTGCTAACTAAAACACAATATTAAAAGCATTGTCGCTACGGGTTCGGTTTGACTCAAGACCAACTCTCACAATTCCTCTCCTCGTTCTTCAATTTCCTAATCCTACAAGGCTAGGCAAATCAATAGAAATATCTTCCGGCAATCTAGGGATAATCTATCCTGTCTCCCCGTCATCTTAGTTACAGATCGATTGGTTAAAGACTATCATTGATTAACCAAAAAATGCTAAACCCTTAAACACCACTAGTTGGTACAGCGTTAACAAGTACAACCTATCAACCTGTATCATCCAATCAACTAATTACACAATAAATGCATTCCTAGTAGAAATGATATTAAACGCTACTAAAACTTGATTGCAATCAGTACCGAAGCAATTTAAAGTCATAATCAACATTCAATAATCTCAAACTGACATTCAATTATGCGAAAAGTTATATATCAATAAACGTTCTCAATGGACATTATCAATTCAACACGTCGAGCATCAGAATAATATTAAAGTATCGCAAACAAACTGAAACGAAAACAAATATAATATGAATACAAGAAACTTAACCAAATATCCAACATTCGGGCTCATCCAACTAGTCGAGAGAGGAGATCAGTGGAGTCAATCTCGATCTCGCCTACACCGTAATGGACAACCGGGAACTTAGCTGCTCATGATGGTGATGACGGAGGCTGAAACGGTGGAAACGAAGCTGATCATGGCGAAGAGGAGATAACCGACAGCGATATGATGCAAAGAAGGGCCGAAAACGACCAACGGACAGCCAGGAATACGAACAGCCGCACTCGCCAGAAAACGTTAATTTTTTGGTGAGTCTTCCAGAAAACGGTGGCGGAAATGGGATCCGAAGGTACCGATGGAAAGCTCTGGTGATGGGGAGTTCAGATCAGGTCCTGGGGAGGTGAGAAGTCGCCGGAAATGAGCAGGATCTGGGCTGGAAGATGAAAAGGCGCGGCGGCAAAATCGCGGATTCCGGCGGTTTTCGCGGCGGCTGAAGTAAGGGAAGTGTAGATTCGGCCGTGGGGAATGAAGATCTACCCTTGGGGAGCTGGAACGTCGCCAAAAAACAGCCAAAACTTGCCGGGAAGATGAAACGACGCGGTGGTGGAAGGCGAAGCGTCGCGATGGTTTCCACGGTGGTTTGCGGTGGCTGATGGCGGATCGGTGCATGGGGAGATGGATCGTCGCTGGAGCTCGCCGGAAAACTGGGTGAACAGCCTCCCCTGTTCGCGACTTTTCATCTTCTTTTTATAGAATAAAATATAAAATATCATTTTGGTCCCTACATGTTTGAAAGTGACAAAATCTACCCCAAGATTATGACAATTTGACCCCTGAATGGCATAAATGAGAGTTTATGAGACAACTTCAACCCTAGAAAATAAATCACATCCTAATATCAACTTACACAATCTCAAATTTCAATCCAAACATGCCAAATTAGTAAGAAAAACTCAAAATATGATTTTTAAACATAAATTCATAATTTCTCTTAATTGTCTCAATATAACTTCAATTCAATTATACATATGGTCTTTTTGTCACCAAAGTAGAGTCACTTTCATGACTCTAACAATTGCCCTCCTTCACCATTCGCTGTTTTCTCAACAAAGTGGAAGTTTAAATTTTGATTTTGAATGAAAAATGTTAACTGACCATCTAACCTTTCTTTACAACGAAATTTACTAATAGAATTGTATTTAAATAGTAAAATGGTATTTTAAAAATCTATAAGTGAAAAAATATCGTTAGGCAATTATTTGGGTGGGAAAAGGTCGTTTACCGTATGAAACAAAGCTGAAATGTCACCCCACTTATTCCTTTTCGTGACTCACGTTGTTATAAATTACAAACACATTAAAATCAAAACTTTATCTTATCCTTTGAAATTGGTGGACAGAATTATCATATACAATAAGAATCATTTGTCGGCTTTTCATAAAGAACCAAAAACAGACATAATTCAGTATCACACCATCACCTTATTGTCACCATGGCTTTCATTTTATTTTCCATTCACACGTAGCATATATTCGCTTTCTACTAGTAAACTGACCATCACCACTACAAACCACAACTTTCAAGTTCTCCAACATCGACGACTCAACTGAACTCAAATGGAAGAGATACAGCACAGAATAGTGAACGTCAATGGCTTAAACATGCACGTGGCAGAGAAAGGCGAAGGTCCACTCATTCTCTTCATTCATGGCTTTCCCGAACTGTGGTACTCCTGGCGCCACCAGATCACGGCCTTGGCTTCACTTGGCTACCGAGCCATGGCTCCGGATCTACGTGGCTTCGGTGACACAGACGCCCCGCCTTCTGTCACGAGTTACACGTGTTTCCACGTGGTGGGAGACCTCATCGCACTCCTCGACGTTGTCGCCCCCGACCAGGACAAGGTGTTCGTGGTGGGCCATGATTGGGGTGCTCTTATTGCTTGGTACTTGTGTTTGTTTAGACCGGATAAAGTCAAAGCTTTGGTCAACATGAGTGTTGTGTTTAATCCCAGGAATCCCAATAGGAAGCCACTTGAGGGTTTGAAAGCTTTTCATGGTGATGATTATTACATCGTCAGATTTCAGGTTCATTTTTAAGCTAATCTTTTAGTTTTGTAATTGTTCTAGTTGGCTATTCGGTTTTTGATTCTTCTGCTCATTAAGCTATCAACAAATGGTGGATATATTGCAAAGTTTCGATCTTTGATTTTTTTTTTTTTTTTTAGCTTTCATCTTTAATGTTTCATCTGATCTTTACTGAAACAACATGAATTTTAGTGCTCTGTATAGATATTTTAAAATAATGAATATCTTATTGCTCTTAGGTTCAGAATTCTACTATTTGAACTGATTATTTTAGTATGTTTGAAGTAGAGTTCATTGAACACAGCATCTTGCACATGTAATGGAAATATGGAATCTTTAGTTTGAGCATGTGAAAGATAAAGTTAAAAGTTTATATTTATTAATCATAGATTCGATTGATCTTGTTGACTGTACACTTAAATTGTTTATTTGTTCCAAAATAGTTTGACGGTTGTAGCAACTCTGATTCCATACCATGCCAAAACATTTTGCCCTGTAGCTGGAGGTTCTAAATCAATTCATTCACTGATGATTATCAATCATAGACACAATTTTGGATTTTGATAACATCAAAATAGCTGTCGTAATGAACTGATTTCTTTATGAAATTGTAGGAGCCTGGTGATATAGAAGCTGAATTTGCACAGATTGGTACTGAGAGAGTTCTCAGGGAATTCTTAACATACAGGACACCTGGTCCTCTTTATTTACCTAAAGGCAAAGGATTTGAACGTCCCTCAGATGCTGAAATTATTTTGCCCTCTTGGCTATCAGAGGATGATGTTAAATACTACACCGACAAATTTGAGAAGAAAGGCTTTACTGGAGGGGTGAACTATTACCGTAATATAAACACGTATGTCTCCTTCCAATTTGAGTGACAACTGCATATTTGAATTTTGTCAGTGTAAGATAAAGCTATTTGATTGAGCTTGAAATTCAGATGAGTAGCTAAATATGTTTTGCTTATGGATACCAATATAAGTAGATGATTTCCAATACTTAAGGAGATCAAAACCATAATGCAATCTGGCACAAATATATCTTATCAAAAAAGGCCCTTTGCATTAGTGTTTTGTTTGATTATCTTGCGGTGTTCTTCCCCTCAATTTATGGCATTGTCAATCTTGTTTACTTCTGTTTGTTGCTGCAGGAACTGGGAACTTATGGCACCTTGGACTGGGAGTCAAATAAAGGTACCTGTTAAGTTCATTGTGGGCGACCTGGACCTGACATATAACGCGCCAGGAACCAAGGATTACATAAACAAAGGTGGGTTCAAGCGGCATGTGCCATTGTTAGAGGAAGTGGTTGTAATGGAAGGAGTAGGTCACTTCATCAATCAAGAAAGGGCTGATGAGATCAATGAGCACATATACAACTTCTTTCAGAAGCTGTGATTAGTTATTTGGTTTCTATTACTTTTTTCACCGAAACAACGAGAGCATGCATACTTCTGCTTGTGTGGCACCGTTTTTGTATTACTTCATCTGGGTTGTTCTTGTGAGTGCAATGGGAGTTGTTAATTGTTTGATCTGCTCACCGTGTTATGATACTACGTTGGGGTTGTTCTTGTAAGTGCAATGCTAGTTGTTTGATCATAAGCCATGGCGTGTAATTGCTAATGTTTCAGAACGTTATGATATGCGAATATAATGTTGGTGTCTTTTTACTCTTGGAAATTGTTATGGACTGTTTTGGGAGATGGGAAAACAATTTCAACTCAATCGTTAATCAAATTGTTTAGTTGCTTAAGCACGATATCTAACTGCTATATCTTGCTGCAACTGACAAACCATTGAGCCATAAGCTCAAACGCTTCCAGGCCTTTTGCGTTTTGCAACATCAAAGTGAACATCCAGGAGGCCTGTTATTCCGGCTGTTATCTTTTGACCTACTTTTACAGGGCCAACACCTGGTGGAGTGCCTACAAAAACAAAATTGATGGCAAAAAAAATCAGAAGCTCAATCTAATTCTTACACCTAACATGCCCTTGTGGGGATGGAAGACTTATCAATGTCGAATGTTATCCAAGTTGAGAAGGAACAATTAAAATGCAAGGATTGAGAAAAAAATGTAACAGAGAAAGAAAGAAATAATATAAATATAAACTTTGAATATAGTTTGCAAACAGACAAAATATCATTTCACAAAATTTCAGAAAAGGAATTATATAAAGTTAAAACAAAACGAAGTGAAATTGTTTTGTAACTGTAACTAACCCCTAAACCCTATAAAGCAAAGAAGTCTCCCCCTACTTTAGTGAAATATCACCCAAAAGGTAAGTTTAATTGTCAAGGAATATGATCTTCAAAATGAGGAGAGATGAATGTAATTTAAAATCTACAATAATGTGATACCACACCCTTGCAAACTCAACAATCATTTTCTTAGCAATCACAAAGAATGATTCAAAGATTCATCTACACAATAAGACAAAATAAAATGACTTCTCCCCTAAGTAGCTAACGTTGGCCAGTAAGTAAAATCATGCATTTGAATGGAGGAAGGACCTCAACCATATAAAACAAGATCATAGACACGATTCTTGTCCAATAACAGGGATATAAAGCTCACTGAATACTCCTAGTATCAACTATATACCAAGTTTAATATGAAAATCATATCTTTTGGCACTCACTGAAAGTATGCTTTAAATGAATAGAATTAAGCAAAAAATCCTGCAATACCTGTTAAGATGACATCTCCTTCCAAAAGTGTCATAATTGAACTTATGTGGCTAATGAGATATGGGATCTTAAAAATCATATCCTTGGTGGAGCCCTTCTGTCGTACTTCTCCATCCACCTGCAGTGAAACACATTTGAAGTTGATGCCAGGGAATAACCAAGGATAACATAATTAAAGCATTCGTAAACCACATGAAAACACAAATCAGGAAAGAGTAATTATCAAACAACCTTTAACCAGAGTTCAACGTTGTCTGGGTCGGGCAATGCTGACTTTGGTAGCTACAGAAAAGTTAAGGAGAGTCAAACAACTATGGATAATGTTTAGGTAAAACAAATTTCAAGCAAAAAATTAAGCTATAGATGATAAAGTTTATCTACAATCTCATCTCCTTTTCCCCCAAGTTGCCACAAATTGACTACATATTACCGGCACCATAGAGGGAATGGCCCCTACCAGCATCTGAAGAAGATTCCGTCTTCCTTTTACAACCTCAGGAAACAAAGAACAGTGCCAAATTTGAAGTGCAGTTATTTCCCTTGCAAATGCTACCTAATGCCAAGTTCATTTTTCTTGGTGGCCATCAACTAGGGTAAAGAGTACACCTCATCATTCTAAATAGAATTTTCACCATTGAGATTCATAACTAATGTGAACATAATATAATTTCAGTAGACACAAATATGTAAAAAGTATTTCGTTCAACTTCTTACAACAGTGCTAATTGGTGTGAAGGTGTCCTGTCCCTTCGCCACTGTCCATGGAAGACCTGCAGACTGAAAATAGGACAAAGGAAACAACAATAACAAGATATTTCATGCATGCTAACAAGCATTCAATCATAGCATAATGAAAGCACAAAGAGCAAAGTTGTTAAGCTTCAGATTACAACTCAGGATATTGGATTGTAATAAAAGTAATCCTTGACTTCTATGTTTAACAGCATGGCAATAAATCCAACTGCAAATGCTTCTGTAGATTTTGACAGTTCATCAACACATTTGTCCACAAAAATTTGAGGCTTTTCTTTTTCAAAAAACATAAAAAGGAACATGGACCATCATTTTATCCAAAAAAGCCAGATGAAAAGAAACTCATACCTTTGCAGCAGATTGTATTTCCCTAGCAGTCATATCGAGTGCCAACGCATAGCCTGAAACCTTAAAAAATTATTACTTTGAAACTTGAACAATAACCACAACCTAAATAAACTAGTAGATAACATTAGGAAACAGGTATTGATAGAATCTGCAACAAAATCATCAACAAATAATTTGCAAATACAAGGCAATAATAATTCTTACCAAGATAAATCTAAAAATCATGAATCAACAGAAAAGCGACTTAGTTAATAATAATTAAAGAAATACCTCCAACATAGTCCATGGCAGTGGTTTCAGGTACATCTCGAGCTTTCTTTCCGATCACGACGGCAAGCTCCACCTCATGATGAAGTGAATCCAACGGATGGGGAACCTCGATGGTCCCTCCATTTTCTAGGTAAGACGACGTCGGTTTGAGAAACAAAACCGGCTCCTGGTAACAATGAACATTACACGCAGTAAAATAAATCTCTGTATTTACAATTTGATTACAATTGAACTATGAACTATGAAGTAATAAAAAAACTGAAACTGAATTACCTTAGGTACAGCGTTACCGAGTTCTTTGGCGTGAGCAGCGTAGTTACGGCCAACGGCAACGATCTTGGTGCCTACTTCGAGGAGCTTTTGCATGCCGGACAACGCAGTCGCCATCGCTTCAGAAATGTCGATGATCGTAATTCAAACAGCTGACCAATACATCTAACAGCCTAAAAGGGTAGGTAAAGAGAGAGAGTTTTGTTTACGTCCCTGTGGTCTCGGCCAACTCCATGTCTCCATCAAGGACACTAGTTTCTAATACTGTCAGTTTAGTCTTTTGACTTTGCATACCATTATTAATTGACTTGAAAATTATACTGAAATGACGAAAATACTCTTCTACAAAATAATGAAATCGTTAAAAGAAGCTACATAGGGTACAAGCCCAATTTGAAAGATCCTTGAATAATTATCAAATGAAAATTCTATTTACTTCAAAAAAATTTAAGATTTTACAATTGTTTCAGTCTGCTGCTTTTTCTATAGAAAGTGGCATGAGGCTATGCAGAGACTCATCGCCAGAAGCTTCAGAGGGATGAGTTATGTCCTTAACTAATTCTCCGCCCTCATTGCCACGGCAGGACCTGGAAATTCTGATAAAAGAAACATTAGTAAAGCTAAGCCGAATTCAATTGCAATTTTTGAATTGTTTTCGAGTTTGAAAAGTTACCGCTGGCGAAAGCTAAAAGGTGGATTGCTGTACATGAAGGAGGTTGAGCAACAGCCAGTGAAGTAAGATGTCTCATCCGCTGGTAGATTTGTTCTTGACTGCATAATATATGAATAAGCTTATAGTTAATAAATTCAATGAATAAATGGAAATGGATTCAGAAGAAATATATGGCACACTTACGGTTTCTTTTTTGGAACTCTGCATCTCAGAAAGCTCTGAGTTTTTGTTGTGGCGGCCCCTTCTCTCATTCACTAGAAGAATTGCACATTTGCATGTAAAGAAAAGAAGCAGAACTCCAAGAAAAAGCACCATAATAAATTCAATGACTATAGCTGATCCTAGGGCTGTACACAAGAGTAAAATTGACAAGAGTTTAGTAATCGCAAAAATCTAAGTCATCTATGACTGATATGTTGATTTGTCACTTACTATGAGCTACCAATGAACTCATTGGTCTTCTTCTGATCAAATTTACAGTAGCCTCTGCTTGTAGAGGCACGAAGAATTTTTCAGCACAGTCTGGATAACAACCATAGTGCCCCATATCGTTCACTTTCACAGTCAAAACGACGTTATGTTCCTCACCCTATACAAAGAACCAAAACAATTTTAACCAGATTTCGCTTCGAAAAAATAATGTGAATGTGTCTGCCAAGCATGTATTCAAATTATTCATTAACATAGCAACCTTAATTCTTCTTAAATTTCAAAACAAAAGAAGCTTACTCACATGATAAAAGAGTTGTTGCATTACAGTATTGCAATTATCTACTGTTGCCCGGAATCTAATTCCACTGGCTTGGACCTTAAAATGTTTTGAGATAGTAACATACGTCTGAAGAGGTTGCCATAGATAACTGTCCTTTAGCTTCAGTTCAGTTTCATTGATGAGCTCAGCTGGTAGACTGGTTAGCAATAATCCATCACTGACTTCCATGGAAAATGCGACCATGAAGTGAGATGCACCGCCTGACATACAGCCCACCAAACAGATATTACACTCTTAAGATTTGTGGTAAAAACTTGTATTCAATTTTTTACATCGTTGAAAATTTTTGTATTGGAAAGTCAATAACATGATTTGTATGCATTTTTTTGTCCATCAGATGCTGAAATTATTTGCCCTCTTGGCTATCAGAGGATGATGTTAAATACTACACCGACAAATTTGAGAAGAAAGGCTTTACTGGAGGGGTGAACTATTACCGTAATATAAACATGTATGTCTCCTTCCAATTTGAGTGACAACTGCATATTTGAATTTTGTCAGTGTATGATAAAGCTATTTGATTGAGCTTGAAATTCAGATGAGTAGCTAAATATGTTTTGCTTATGGATACCCATATAAGTAGATGATTTCCAATACTTAAGGAGATCAAAACCATAATGCAATCTGGCACAATATATCTTATCAAAAAAGGCCCTTTGCATTAGTGTTTGTTTGATTATCTTGCGGTGTTTCCCCTCAATTTATGGCATTCAATCTTGTTTACTTCTGTTGTTGCTGCAGGAACTGGGAACTTATGGCACCTTGGACTGGGAGTCAAATAAAGGTACCTGTTAAGTTCATGTGGGCGACCTGGACCTGACATATAACGCGCCAGGAACCAAGGATTACATAAACAAAGGGGGTTCAAGCGGCATGTGCCATTGTTAGAGGAAGTGGTTGTAATGGAAGGAGTAGGTCACTTCATCAATCAAGAAGGCTGATGAGATCAATGAGCACATATACAACTTCTTTCAGAAGCTGTGATTAGTTATTGGTTTCTATGTACTTTTTTCACCGAAACAACGGAGCATGCATACTTCTGCTTGTGTGGCACCTTTTTGTATTACTCATCTGGGTTGTTCTTGTGAGTGCAATGGGAGTTGTTAATTGTTTGATCTGCTACCGTGTTATGATGCTACGTTGGGGTTGTTCTTGTAAGTGCAATGCTAGTTGTTTGATCATAAGCCATGGCGTGTAATTGCTAATGTTTCAGAACGTTATGATATGGAATGAATATTGGTGTCTTTTTACTCTTGGAATTGTTATGGACTGTTTGTTTTGGGAGAGGGAAAACAATTTAATCAATCGTTAATCAAATTGTTTAGTTGCTTAAGCATGTTATCTAATGAAATATGCGTGGAGTAACTTGATAGTAAAAAAAAAATAAATAAATAAAAGATTTTACGAATTTTTGAATTCAAGTCTCCCACATATTAATAGAGAGACTATTAAAACTCTTACCCAATTAAAAATTTCACAAAAGATTACACTTTAGTGATCACAAAAATTAAAAGAGGTTTTCTAGAGCAATATCAGCAGTGTGTGTGTCTGGGCCTTCTAAATCCAAGAGAATAAAATTTCAAATTTCCTATCCAACTCCAAGGAATGTGTTAATCTTAGGTAATGTGATATATCATTTACTATCTCAATTCTCCGGTTTATACGTCGAAAAAACGACACATCCTTTGAGATCATAAAATTTGAGAATTCATCTGGAAAGTGTAGCATTATTCTAAAATAAATAACCCAAGATCGAATAGTGTTCGCATTGACTATTGATAACTGCTTTATAAATTCCCACATCAAGTCTAAAAGTGATATCAGATACATTATTAATTTCTCATCTGAATGAATTTTTTTTTTTTTTTAAATAGATGTCCTCCCTTCTTAGAAAAGCCACGACCCCATTATTAGGTGCAATTCAATTGTGCTCTTGATGTTTGCTTCCAGCGCTCAAAACAGTCAACTAAACAGAACAATGCTTCCTCCAACCATGGATACAATTCCTGCCTCAGCCCTTTGCGAAAAAACAAACAAATTCCAATCCAACTGCTATATCTTGCTGCAACTGACAAAATTTAATGTACCATTGAGCCATAAGCTCAAACGCTTCCAGGCCTTTTGCGTTTTGCAACATCAAAGTGAACATCCAGGAGGCCTGTTATTCCGGCTGTTATCTTTTGACCTACTTTACAGGGCCAACATGGTGGAGTGCCTACAAAACAAAATTGATGGCAAAAAAAAAATCAGAAGCTCAACTAATTCTTACACCTAACATGCCTTGTGGGGATGGAAGACTTATCAATGTCGAATGTTATCCAAGTTGAGAAGGAACAATTAAAATGCAAGGATTGAGAAAAAAATGTAACAGAGAAAGAAAGAAATAATATAAATATAAACTTTGAATATAGTTTGCAAACAGACAAAATATCATTTCACAAAAATTCAGAAAAGGAATTATATAAAGTTAAAACAAAACGAAGTGAAATTGTTTTGTAACTGTAACTAACCCTAAACCCTATAAAGCAAAGAAGTCTCCCCCACTTTAGTGAAATATCACCCAAAGGTAAGTTAATGTCAAGGAATATGCTCTCAAAATGGGAGAGATGAATGTAATTTAAAATCTACAATAAGTGTGATACCACACCCTTGCAAACTCAACAATCATTTTCTTAGCAATCACAAAGAATGATTCAAAGATTCATCTACACAATAAGACAAAATGAATGACTTCTCCCCTAAGTAGCTAACGTTGACCAGTAAGTAAAATCATGCATTTGAATGGAGGAAGGACCTAACACAATAAAACAAGATCATAGACACGATTCTTGTCCAATAACAGGGATATAAAGCTCACTGAATACTCCTAGTATCAACTATATACCAAGTTTAATATGAAAATCATATCTTTTGGCACTCAGTGAAAGTACGCTTAAATGAATGAATTAAGCAAAAAATCCTGCAATAACGTTAAGATGACATCTCTTCCAAAAGTGTCATAATTGAACTTATGTGGCTAATGAGATATGGGATCTTAAAAATCATATCCTTGGTGGAGCCCTTCTGTCGTACTTCTCCATCCACCTGCAGTGAAACACATTTGAAGTTGATGCCAGGGAATAACCAAGGATAACATAATTAAAGCATTCGTAAACCACATGAAAACACAAAAGGAAAGAGTAATTATCAAACAACCTTTAACCAGAGTTCAACGTTGTTGGGTCGGGCAATGCTGACTTTGGTAGCTACAGAAAAGTTAAGGGAGGTCAAACAAACTATGGATAATGTTTAGGTAAAACAAATTTCAAGCAAAAGATTAAGCCATAGATGATAAAGGTTATCTACAATTCATCTACTTTTCCCCCAGTTGCCACAAATTGACTACATATTACCGGCACCATAGAGGGAATGGCCCCTACCAGCATCTTAAGAAGATTCCGTCTTCCTTTTACAACCTCAGGAAACAAAGAACAGTGCCAAATTTGAAGTGCGTTATTTCCCTTGCAAATGCTACCTAATGCCAAGTTCATTTTTCTTGGTGGCCATCAACTAGGGTAAAGAGTACACCTCATTCTAAATAGAATTTTCACCATTGAGATTCATAACTAATGTGAACAATAATATAATTCAGTAGACAAAATATGTAAAAAGTATTTCGTTTAACTTCTTACAACAGTGCTAATTGGTGTGAAGGTGTCCTGTCCCTTCGCCACGTCCATGGAAGACCTGCAGACTGAAAATAGGACAAAGGAAACAACATTAACAGAATATTCATGCATGCTAACAAGCAGTCAATCGTAGCATAATGAAAGCACAAAGAGCAAAGTTGTTAAGCTCAGATTACAACTCAGATATTGGATTTTACATCAAAGTATTCTGGAAAAACTAATTGAGCTGACGGCTGAGAAATGGTTGAGACAAGGGTGGGATGGAAGTAGGTTTTGGCGAGGGAGGTGACAAGAGTATTTTGGTGGTGGTAAGGGAGATCGACGACATTGGAAAATGGTCGATTTCCCGTGACTCACGCCACGCCGTTTTCAAGCCATTTTAGCTTGAGTCGTGTGCCATTAGGCCTCCAACCACCACCAAAACACTCCCCATGAATCCCTCATCAAAACCCCTCCCACTCCCATCCATCGAAGCCCTCCATTCGCCTGCCACCACTCATTGTTGGTTCACGCGATTCTTGGCATTTTTTGACTACTTTTGACGTCAGAAATCACTTTTGAGACCACCAATCAACTCATTGGCCTCTCATCTCCAAAACGCCAACCTTTTGAAAGCCAATTACATGTCGTTCAACGCTCTCGACCACATAGGTTTCACTGTTTTTGTGCCAATTTCACCTGATTCTGGTGGCCAAAATCCAATCTTCCACCACCCTTTCAACCTCCAACCTCCCCTCTTCAAAACCCTTCAAACTTCGACAATTGGTTACTCGCCATTCGTCGACCGTGAATTGTTGCTCTCCTTCACCGTTCGCTGTTTTCTCAACAAAGTGGAAGTTTAAATTTTGATTTTGAATGAAAAATGTTAACTGACCATCCAACCTTTCTTTACAACAAAATTTACTAATAGAATTGTACTTGGATAGTAAAGTGATATTTTAAAAATTCATAAGCGGAAAAATGTCATTAGGCAATTATTTGGGTGGGAAAATGTCGTTTACCGTATGAAACAAAGCTGAAATGTCACCCCACCTGTTCCTTTTCGTGACTCACGTTGTTATAAATTACAAACACATTAAAACCAAAACTTTATCTTATCCTTTGAAGTTGGTGGACAGAATTACCATTTATAAGAATCATTTTTCGGCTTTTCATAAAGGACCCAAACAGTCATAATTCAGTATCACACTATCGCTTTATTGTCACCATGGCTTTCATTTATCAGTAATACTACGTTTACCGAGTAAATTACCGATTTTCACATACCGATGCACTTGCCCAATTCTCAAAATCTCAAATTTTAACTTAATCAGTATGTCAAATCGGTACCTTTATCGGTAACTCAAGCATTATTGTTCATTTATTTTCCATTCACACGTAGCATATATTCGCTTTCTACTAGTAAACTGACCATCACCACTACAAACCACAACTTTCAAGTTCTCCAACATCTACAACTCAACTGAACTCAAATGGAAGAGATACAGCACAGAATAGTGAACGTCAATGGCTTAAACATGCACGTGGCAGAGAAAGGCGAAGGTCCACTCATTCTCTTCATTCATGGCTTTCCCGAACTGTGGTACTCCTGGCGCCACCAGATCACGGCCTTGGCTTCACTTGGCTACCGAGCCATGGCTCCGGATCTACGTGGCTTCGGTGACACAGACGCCCCGCCTTCTGTCACGAGTTACACGTGTTTCCACGTGGTGGGAGACCTCATCGCACTCCTCGACGTTGTCGCCCCCGACCAGGACAAGGTGTTCGTGGTGGGCCATGATTGGGGTGCTCTTATTGCTTGGTACTTGTGTTTGTTTAGACCGGATAAAGTCAAAGCTTTGGTCAACATGAGTGTTGTGTTTAATCCCAGGAATCCCAATAGGAAGCCACTTGAGGGTTTGAAAGCTTTTCATGGTGATGATTATTACATCGTCAGATTTCAGGTTCATTTTTAAGCTAATCTTTTAGTTTTGTAATTGTTCTAGTTGGCTATTCGGTTTTTGATTCTTCTGCTCATTAAGCTATCAACAAATGGTGGATATATTGCAAAGTTTCGATCTTTGATTTTTTTTTTTTTTTTTAGCTTTCATCTTTAATGTTTCATCTGATCTTTACTGAAACAACATGAATTTTAGTGCTCTGTATAGATATTTTAAAATAATGAATATCTTATTGCTCTTAGGTTCAGAATTCTACTATTTGAACTGATTATTTTAGTATGTTTGAAGTAGAGTTCATTGAACACAGCATCTTGCACATGTAATGGAAATATGGAATCTTTAGTTTGAGCATGTGAAAGATAAAGTTAAAAGTTTATATTTATTAATCATAGATTCGATTGATCTTGTTGACTGTACACTTAAATTGTTTATTTGTTCCAAAATAGTTTGACGGTTGTAGCAACTCTGATTCCATACCATGCCAAAACATTTTGCCCTGTAGCTGGAGGTTCTAAATCAATTCATTCACTGATGATTATCAATCATAGACACAATTTTGGATTTTGATAACATCAAAATAGCTGTCGTAATGAACTGATTTCTTTATGAAATTGTAGGAGCCTGGTGATATAGAAGCTGAATTTGCACAGATTGGTACTGAGAGAGTTCTCAGGGAATTCTTAACATACAGGACACCTGGTCCTCTTTATTTACCTAAAGGCAAAGGATTTGAACGTCCCTCAGATGCTGAAATTATTTTGCCCTCTTGGCTATCAGAGGATGATGTTAAATACTACACCGACAAATTTGAGAAGAAAGGCTTTACTGGAGGGGTGAACTATTACCGTAATATAAACACGTATGTCTCCTTCCAATTTGAGTGACAACTGCATATTTGAATTTTGTCAGTGTAAGATAAAGCTATTTGATTGAGCTTGAAATTCAGATGAGTAGCTAAATATGTTTTGCTTATGGATACCAATATAAGTAGATGATTTCCAATACTTAAGGAGATCAAAACCATAATGCAATCTGGCACAAATATATCTTATCAAAAAAGGCCCTTTGCATTAGTGTTTTGTTTGATTATCTTGCGGTGTTCTTCCCCTCAATTTATGGCATTGTCAATCTTGTTTACTTCTGTTTGTTGCTGCAGGAACTGGGAACTTATGGCACCTTGGACTGGGAGTCAAATAAAGGTACCTGTTAAGTTCATTGTGGGCGACCTGGACCTGACATATAACGCGCCAGGAACCAAGGATTACATAAACAAAGGTGGGTTCAAGCGGCATGTGCCATTGTTAGAGGAAGTGGTTGTAATGGAAGGAGTAGGTCACTTCATCAATCAAGAAAGGGCTGATGAGATCAATGAGCACATATACAACTTCTTTCAGAAGCTGTGATTAGTTATTTGGTTTCTAGTACTTTTTTCACCGAAACAACGAGAGCATGCATACTTCTGCTTGTGTGGCACCTTTTTTGTATTACTTCATCTGGGTTGTTCTTGTGAGTGCAATGGGAGTTGTTAATTGTTTGATCTGCTTACCGTGTTATGATGCTACGTTGGGGTTGTTCTTGTAAGTGCAATGCTAGTTGTTTGATCATAAGCCATGGCGTGTAATTGCTAATGTTTCAGAACGTTATGATATGCGAATGTAATATTGGTGTCTTTTTACTCTTGGAAATTGTTATGGACTGTTTGTTTTGGGAGATGGGAAAACAATTTCAACTCAATCGTTAATCAAATTGTTTAGTTGCTTAAGCACGATATCTAACTGCTATATCTTGCTGCAACTGACAAACCATTGAGCCATAAGCTCAAACGCTTCCAGGCCTTTTGCGTTTTGCAACATCAAAGTGAACATCCAGGAGGCCTGTTATTCCGGCTGTTATCTTTTGACCTACTTTTACAGGGCCAACACCTGGTGGAGTGCCTACAAAAACAAAATTGATGGCAAAAAAAATCAGAAGCTCAATCTAATTCTTACACCTAACATGCCCTTGTGGGGATGGAAGACTTATCAATGTCGAATGTTATCCAAGTTGAGAAGGAACAATTAAAATGCAAGGATTGAGAAAAAAATGTAACAGAGAAAGAAAGAAATAATATAAATATAAACTTTGAATATAGTTTGCAAACAGACAAAATATCATTTCACAAAATTTCAGAAAAGGAATTATATAAAGTTAAAACAAAACGAAGTGAAATTGTTTTGTAACTGTAACTAACCCCTAAACCCTATAAAGCAAAGAAGTCTCCCCCTACTTTAGTGAAATATCACCCAAAAGGTAAGTTTAATTGTCAAGGAATATGATCTTCAAAATGAGGAGAGATGAATGTAATTTAAAATCTACAATAATGTGATACCACACCCTTGCAAACTCAACAATCATTTTCTTAGCAATCACAAAGAATGATTCAAAGATTCATCTACACAATAAGACAAAATAAAATGACTTCTCCCCTAAGTAGCTAACGTTGGCCAGTAAGTAAAATCATGCATTTGAATGGAGGAAGGACCTCAACCATATAAAACAAGATCATAGACACGATTCTTGTCCAATAACAGGGATATAAAGCTCACTGAATACTCCTAGTATCAACTATATACCAAGTTTAATATGAAAATCATATCTTTTGGCACTCACTGAAAGTATGCTTTAAATGAATAGAATTAAGCAAAAAATCCTGCAATACCTGTTAAGATGACATCTCCTTCCAAAAGTGTCATAATTGAACTTATGTGGCTAATGAGATATGGGATCTTAAAAATCATATCCTTGGTGGAGCCCTTCTGTCGTACTTCTCCATCCACCTGCAGTGAAACACATTTGAAGTTGATGCCAGGGAATAACCAAGGATAACATAATTAAAGCATTCGTAAACCACATGAAAACACAAATCAGGAAAGAGTAATTATCAAACAACCTTTAACCAGAGTTCAACGTTGTCTGGGTCGGGCAATGCTGACTTTGGTAGCTACAGAAAAGTTAAGGAGAGTCAAACAACTATGGATAATGTTTAGGTAAAACAAATTTCAAGCAAAAAATTAAGCTATAGATGATAAAGTTTATCTACAATCTCATCTCCTTTTCCCCCAAGTTGCCACAAATTGACTACATATTACCGGCACCATAGAGGGAATGGCCCCTACCAGCATCTGAAGAAGATTCCGTCTTCCTTTTACAACCTCAGGAAACAAAGAACAGTGCCAAATTTGAAGTGCAGTTATTTCCCTTGCAAATGCTACCTAATGCCAAGTTCATTTTTCTTGGTGGCCATCAACTAGGGTAAAGAGTACACCTCATCATTCTAAATAGAATTTTCACCATTGAGATTCATAACTAATGTGAACATAATATAATTTCAGTAGACACAAATATGTAAAAAGTATTTCGTTCAACTTCTTACAACAGTGCTAATTGGTGTGAAGGTGTCCTGTCCCTTCGCCACTGTCCATGGAAGACCTGCAGACTGAAAATAGGACAAAGGAAACAACAATAACAAGATATTTCATGCATGCTAACAAGCATTCAATCATAGCATAATGAAAGCACAAAGAGCAAAGTTGTTAAGCTTCAGATTACAACTCAGGATATTGGATTGTAATAAAAGTAATCCTTGACTTCTATGTTTAACAGCATGGCAATAAATCCAACTGCAAATGCTTCTGTAGATTTTGACAGTTCATCAACACATTTGTCCACAAAAATTTGAGGCTTTTCTTTTTCAAAAAACATAAAAAGGAACATGGACCATCATTTTATCCAAAAAAGCCAGATGAAAAGAAACTCATACCTTTGCAGCAGATTGTATTTCCCTAGCAGTCATATCGAGTGCCAACGCATAGCCTGAAACCTTAAAAAATTATTACTTTGAAACTTGAACAATAACCACAACCTAAATAAACTAGTAGATAACATTAGGAAACAGGTATTGATAGAATCTGCAACAAAATCATCAACAAATAATTTGCAAATACAAGGCAATAATAATTCTTACCAAGATAAATCTAAAAATCATGAATCAACAGAAAAGCGACTTAGTTAATAATAATTAAAGAAATACCTCCAACATAGTCCATGGCAGTGGTTTCAGGTACATCTCGAGCTTTCTTTCCGATCACGACGGCAAGCTCCACCTCATGATGAAGTGAATCCAACGGATGGGGAACCTCGATGGTCCCTCCATTTTCTAGGTAAGACGACGTCGGTTTGAGAAACAAAACCGGCTCCTGGTAACAATGAACATTACACGCAGTAAAATAAATCTCTGTATTTACAATTTGATTACAATTGAACTATGAACTATGAAGTAATAAAAAAACTGAAACTGAATTACCTTAGGTACAGCGTTACCGAGTTCTTTGGCGTGAGCAGCGTAGTTACGGCCAACGGCAACGATCTTGGTGCCTACTTCGAGGAGCTTTTGCATGCCGGACAACGCAGTCGCCATCGCTTCAGAAATGTCGATGATCGTAATTCAAACAGCTGACCAATACATCTAACAGCCTAAAAGGGTAGGTAAAGAGAGAGAGTTTTGTTTACGTCCCTGTGGTCTCGGCCAACTCCATGTCTCCATCAAGGACACTAGTTTCTAATACTATCAGTTTAGTCTTTTGACTTTGCATACCATTATTAATTGACTTGAAAATTATACTGAAATGACGAAAATACTCTTCTACAAAATAATGAAATCTTTAAAAGAAGCTACATAGGGTACAAGCCGCATTTAAAAGATCCTTGAATAATTATCAAATGAAAATTCTATTTACTTCAAAAAAGTTTAAGATTTTGCAATTGTTTCAGTCTGCTGCTTTTTCTATAGAAAGTGGCATGAGGCTATGCAGAGACTCATCGCCAGAAGCTTCAGAGGGATGAGTTATGTCCTTAACTAATTCTCCGCCCTCATTGCCACGGCAGGACCTGGAAATTCTGATAAAAGAAACATTAGTTAAGCTAAGCTGAATTCAATTGCAATTTTTGAATTGTTTTCGAGTTTGAAAAGTTACCGCTGGCGAAAGCTAGAAGGTGGATTGCTGAACATGAAGGAGGTTGAGCAACAGCCAGTGAAGTAAGATGTGTCATCCTCTGGTAGATTTGTTCTTGACTGCATAATATATGAATAAGCTTATAGTTAATAAATTCAATGAATACATGGAAATGGATTCAGAAGAAATATATGGCACACTTACGGTTTCTTTTTGGGAACTCTGCATCTCAGAAAGCTCTGAGTTTTTGGTGTGGCGGCCCCTTCTCTCATTCACTAGAAGAATTGCACATTTGCATGTAAAGAAAAGAAGCAGAACCCCAAGAAAAAGCACCATAATAAATTCAATGACTATAGCTGATCCTAGGGCTGTACACAAGAGTAAAATTGACAAGAGTTTAGTAATCGCAAAAATCTAAGTCATCTATGACTGATATGTTGATTTGTCACTTACTATGAGCTACCAATGAACTCATTGGTCTTCTTCTGATCAAATTTACAGTAGCCTCTGCTTGTAGAGGCACGAAGAATTTTTCAGCACAGTCTGGATAACAACCATAGTGCCCCATATCGTTCACTTTCACAGTCAAAACGACGTTATGTTCCTCACCCTATACAAAGAACCAAAACACTTTTAACCAGATTTCGCTTCGAAAAAATAATGTGAATGTGTCTGCCAAGCATGTATTCAAATTATTCATTAACATAGCAACCTTAATTCTTCTTAAATTTCAAAACAAAAGAAGCTTACTCACATGATAGAAGAGTTGTTGCATTACAGTATTGCAATCATCTACTGTTGCCCGGAATCTAATTCCACTGGCTTGGACCTTAAAATGTTTTGAGATAGTAACATACGTCTGAAGAGGTTGCCATAGATAACTGTCCTTTAGCTTCAGTTCAGTTTCATTGATGAGCTCAGCTGGTAGACTGGTTAGCAATAATCCATCACTGACTTCCATGGAAAATGCGACCATGAAGTGAGATGCACCGCCTGACATACAGCCCACCAAACAGATATTACACTCTTAAGATTTGTGGTAAAAACTTGTATTCAATTTTTTACATCGTTGAAAATTTTTGTATTGGAAAGTCAATAACATGATTTGTATGCATTTTTTTCATTGTATTGGAAAGTCAATAACATGATTTGTATGCATTTTTTTTCATTGAATTGGTTTTTGATTTTTGTTTTAATCAATATAGATGTTGAACTCAGTGCTTCAAAATTAGGAAAAGATTATAAAGCATACCTGGATACTTATTAATATCTGGATCCCCAACACAGAAATTGAACTTGTCTCTATCTCTGTTGAATATTTGTGACTCATCTCCGGTAGCATTCAGAATAATATGTTGAGGGACTTCAATAAATGGAGGATCATTAACTGGTTCTACAAAAATTGGAATATCCAAATCATTTTTCCCATTCCTGTTTCTGGCAGAGATTCGAACGGTATCCTCCCCATAAAAGTTTTCATTTCTGATATAAAGGAAATGACAAATCAAAGTCACTGATAATATAGAATGACAAGGAAGATATAAAGTTCGCATGAGAGTGAACCAAAAAGATCTAAAGAGAATAACTGTCACAAAGAGGCAAAACAAGCAGAATGTTTAAATTAATACCCAAGATATTGGACTGACTGAAGGGTAAAATTGATCACATCTACACTGCCTTCTATGATCAAATCCTTCATGTTTTCATTTCCATTACTTACAGAAAGGCCACTCCACATTGGCTGCCAAAACTGCATTAGCATAGAAGACAAAAATACAGTCCCCGACCTTGCACTGAGAGTGACAGAGATGTTCTCCATCATTTCTGAATATCTGATTCCAAACCCAGTGAAACCACTGCAAATTAAGAGAGTAAGAATTATGGACAAAACTAAACCCAATTTAACAAAACAGGAAAACGCTAAAATAATACCTTACCCGAACCTGGGACTTATCAAGTCTTCAGTTGCTTGCAGTTGACTAGGAAAGGAAACAAACTGTGGTGGGATACTGAGAACAGAGATGTTGACAGCAGCGGTAGCGAGGTTACCGTTGACATCAGATATTGTATATGAAAAAGAATCATTCCCAATATAATCTTTGTAAGGGGTATATCTGAAGATCCGCCCAGACTGTAGAAGTGAACCAAAACCAGGCTGACCAAATATAACATATAGTAGTAGGTCAGATTTACAATCAAACTCTTCTACAGAAACTCTTTGAGATGAGTGCAATCTAAATGGTGATATTTTTTAATAGAATTCTGATTCAGGAATTCATGAATTTGACTCCTTATCTTACTTTGGAGAATTCGACAATGCTTGCCCAATCCCCGGCAAAATAGTCATTATCCAAAGCATCAAAAGCAATTGACTCATCCTCCCAAACAGACACTATATCATCATAGGCTTTAGGAAAATATAGACCTGAAGACATTGAAAACATAATCTTAATAGAAAAATAGACAAGAAAAAAAAAAAAAAATTAAAGATTTATACTTTACCTCAAATATAACATTGTAAATCTCTTTTCTGACTACCAAGCTTTATAAGAAACATAAGGCAGACTTACCTCATTATACCCAGAGAGACAATCACACAGTAAATCATACTTTCTAGGATTGTTAAAGTTGGAGAGCTAATATTATATGAGTTGTAGCAACTCAAACTTACTACTGTACACATAAACCCCGAAAGGGCAAGGTAAGAAACGTGTGCCATCAAATGAAACACACATCTCATAGGTGCCTACATCCATAGCCAGATAGCGACCACTGTATGAACCATCATTGTTATCCTCGAACATCCAACTTGAAAAGCCAGAATTGTTTACTGAAGCAATCTCTAGTTTCAGCCTCGACTGTTGTGACAGTATAGGATTAGAAAAGGAATCCAATAGCTGGACCACTACATCATGTGTAATCAGCCTTTGCACCTTAGGACTAAACTTCACAGCTCCTGAGAGTGATATATTCATCTCTCCTGTGGCACAGTGATTATTCAGTCACATAACTTTGGTTATTCTTCAATAGAAACTAATCCAAAATAAATTATGTGAAGTAAATTATAATACCTGCTTTGACTTCCATTGTGAATGGAAGACCACCATTCAATACAATATTTCCGCAGAGTACCAGAATTTTATAAATACCACTCCTTTCAGGAATATAAGTAACATCAAAAGCACTGGCCAGAACTGTTGAGTTCTCTGAAGACTGGATTCAGGAAAAAAGTATCATTAAGATTCTTGAGTAGGACTGCTTAAAATAAGTATATGAATCCACTTCTTACAGTGTTAGTCTGGTCAACTGATGGTGCCACAGCAATTTCTAACTGGTCAATAGAACCATTGTTCAGCTCTTCAGTAGATCCACTCCCTATTTAAGAGATGGTTGCTTGTTTGTAAAAAAGACTATAAACATTAACACAAAGGAAAATGCGAAATTGTGCATACCATTTATAATCTGTGTTGGCAATATCTTTGGCCGTATTTGATAAGAATCAATTTCCCTTATAGTTTGTACTTGAAGCATTTCTAATTCAACTGGAGATGGGAATCGAAAATTGTCATTCAAATAAACTGAGAAGACTGAAATTTCCCCAGCAACAGAAGCATTTAAACCAGAGCCATTGACGACACTGCTTAATCCATCACAATAGCCTATTCAAATAAGAAATAAAATGGAGACTTTATTAGAAAATTATAAATTAACTGTATTTGACAAAGGGATCTGAAATTGTCACAACTCCAACCGTTTAAATGAGCTAATTGCCCAAGGGCATTCTATAGAATCACAAGTTATCAGAGCATAATCAAAATTTTGACCATAAACCATTAATTGTTTAGAGAATCTAAATTAGGAACAAATTGAGAAGAAAAAGACCATAATCACAGTAATTCCTGAGTCATTGTACAACTTCAGACGCACCTACAAAGACAGAATAAGCGAAAGGCATGTTGGAGATGCTTATATTATGCTTCATATCAGATATTGTGAGTAAGAAGTTCCCCGATTCCTGTATAGTAAAAGAAAGCAACTGAATTCCTGGAGTGACTTCTTCAAAGTGCAAATCTACAACTGGTATAGACAGATTTGTCTCTTTCTCAACAATATCAGCATCAAATGCGTATATTCCTGGAACAAGGTTCCCATATTGATCATGCTGGTGTACAAATACTTCCATCTTGGAAAAAATCTGCCAGGCAACCACTTCATATTTCCATTTGGCCTGGCAACTGGAAATGTCTAGCCGTCCTGATAAAGGTCAATTCAACATTTAGTTACACAAATGATTTTCAACCGTAGGTAGAAGATTAGCGCCCATCAACACATTAAATGAGTTTATAATAGAAGCCACAGGACATCACCTGGATTGACCTTGAATGGTAGTGGAGAGCCATTCAAGGTCAGTTTTCCCCCTTCGACGCACAATGAAAGGTCCCCGGCTGTGCTCACAATAAACTCTAAAATGATATAACCAATTTCATTCCAACCCATGTTAGTAACGTTTGGCATGTTAATAAAGGAACCACTTGCATAAAATACAGACACTGTGAAATTAAAAGAACTTGAGTCATTGCTTGTTGAAGAAACATTATTTCCAAATGCATCTTTAGGAAGTATCAGAAATGTCGCTTTTGTCCCCGCTTCAAACTCATTCACACCACCCATCCATGAAGCAACACAGACAGATGGATACATTTGCCCTTCAACCAGGAAATGACACAAACCAAATTCCATTAACTTAGATTATTTAAAGGTGAAATTTCATGTAATACAATTAGTGACTACTTCAATTCGGAAACAATAGACATACCTGGGTCAACATAGAAATGAAGAGAGGAGTCCAATACTTTAAAAGGGTCTTCAAGGATTAACAAATTAAACAAACCAACCAGGATTGGGGTGAATAAAATTCTCCAATTACTAGTGTCTCCACTAGTCTCTAGCACAACCCCAGAAATGTAACAGCTATTTCCCACCTTGTCATTTATTGTGAGTGAAGGCTTGAAAGCACTTTTTTCAAGTGAAGCATTTCCTTGACTGTCAAAATTTCCTAGTACTATGATCCTTATAGCTGCTGTATCCCCTGCTAGAAACTTGTTCTTGTCATCCAACCAACTGAAAGCAAATAACGGCACCGAAGGATTACCTGCAATAAATAAAACCATATCACTTTCAAAAATCCCTGAAAGTATTAAAGTTTACACTAAAAGAATAACAGTTGAAAGAAGTTTGAAAGTACCTGCAAGTTCAGAAGCAAAGGCTAAGAAGGGGAAAGTGAAGAGTGAAATGAGTATGAAAAGATGGACCTGGAATGCCATGACTGAGAGAGTTTGAAGGAACTTTTATTGTACACCAGCTTTATAAAGCAGTTGATCAAGTTTTGATGAGAGTATTGAAGCCGTTGGATTTTAGGAAGCGGTTGGTTACGGTTGCTAACGGTTGGGTAATTGGCGCGGTTTTTTATTCCAATGTTCATACTGAAAATTAAACTTTAAAAGCATAGGTTTTTTTTTTTCTGGGTTTCACTTTGACTTTTTCTATTCTTTAAATATGTAATCATTTGTGAGATTGCTTAATAGCTCACAGAATGTATGTTACTAAATTGTTATATTTGTTTCCTTAAGCCTTTTTTTTTTTTTTTTTTTCCGAAGGTATTTGGTCAGCGCGCACCTCCACTAATCCCTCGAAACATTGAAAGTATCGGCTCCTAACAAAGTGAATCGAACTCATGACCTTTTGAATAATATGCTCAAAAGTCTTAGTTGACTACTCGGTCACCCAATGGTGGTTTAAGCAGCATTTTTTTTTTTTAATTTTAATGTTGTGTATATGGTGTAAGGATAAACAGGAATTGCGTCTTAAAATAGATTTATTTGGAATACACATGAAGAATACAATAACAGCAAGTAATGCTAAGAACTCATCTGCATCGGATGCCCATAAGCAACATTGGCCGGCTCTTACTCTGCTGATTCTTCTTCTGTCGATGGATGCGACGCAGGTTGGATGATGCTTGTTCAAAACCTTTCACTTTCCCATTCTCTATAGAGCATTCAGTCTTCATTTCAATGGGTTAGGCTTTAAATAAAGGATATAGACTGATAATCCTTCAAAAAATCTAATCATAGATTGACAAAACTGAGGCTTCAACTAAACAAATATGGTTGGTCAAATTGCGAATCCGAAGATGCATCTTGTTGTGTAACACTCAACAATGTTATTACCTGTATATATAACGCTATACATTACATGATCTGATCACGAAATTTACTCATTTACTGTCCAAAGTCCAAACCTACCAACAATAACACAAATCACATATGAACACCATTGCATTCATATCTATGCACATGACTAAATAAACCCGAAACAATTTACGGCGAAAAAAGAGTATAAAAACAGAAGCGAAAAGGTTTAACTAGCTAATTACTGATGACATAAAACAGCAGTACATCTGGTTCAGCAGGGACTCCTGTACAATCTATTTGACAGGTTCAAATTAGGAATCCATTCTAGGAAGTAGCCACAACTTTATCAATTGGGAGTTATTTCCGAATAGCCAAGACCCAAGAAATTGGTATTGCAAAAGGGGGATTCATGTTGGTTAAATATTTTATTGGCACTGCATTAAATTTCAGTTTTTATTTGACATAATAAAATTTTTTATTCTGTACAAATAATAGTATAGACAGGAGAACGTTGCCCGGTATTGAAGACACGTTATCTTGATGGAAGTGCAAACCAGTCATCTCATATGCAACATCAGCAACTCTGGGTTTTCAATAAACTGTTTCCACTCATTGCAAAATCTTGCCACGGTTGCTCCATCCAAAACTCTATGATCTGCTCCAATATTAACCTGAAAAACATACAATCATCACAGCCACGTCTCATCAAATTCACTTGCAATATAAAAAACTTAATATGTATTATGAATTAAACAAGGTGACACTTCGGGACATAAGTTATCTTCTCTTTGAAACTTTCTCGAAATCATTCATTTTCTCTACAAAGAAATCCCTTTCTCTCTGCGTGTGTTCACTGCAATAATCATATTGGAAGACTGAAGGCAAACTCAACTGATCTTCTCTAAAAAGCTACTCCTGAATGTAACAGAAAATTGCCCACGGGGCTTTGCATTGTTTGGTCCATGACATAATAACACAACTACTATTTTAACCCTTTATGGTCAACATTTATTAAACAATAATGAAATAAAGAAACCATCATTCATAGCTTACAGTCATTATTGACATGGGGTACACATTTCCATCGTCTGCAAAGTGTGGAACTCTCTGAATTCGGCCAATTGCAATGATTGCAACTTCAGGCAGGTTGACAAGAGGTGATCCAAACTTTCCACCAATTGCTCCAATGTTGCTTAAAGTTATTGTTCCACCAGTTATATCTCTAGGACTAAGCTTGTTATCCCTTGATGATTGTTGCAGGCGTGACAGCTCCTTCGTTATCTAATCACAGAGAGAATGTTTTCAATGAAAGTACATGATAGTGTACATTAAAAGACAGTAAAACACTGATATACTGGCAAATCAATGAAAGGAATGGATGGGGAAAGGTACTTTGTTATTCTGATCCACAATCAAATGGAAAAATAGCAGAGAACAAAAGGCAAGAGTAAATATGTTTGATTACAGCATGAAGTTCTGCAACTGTCATTATCTGCTAAATGTTCTTGGTAAACAGAGAAGCAAAGCAAAAATACCAGTATTGCAGTTCAATTATTATAAAGATAAGAAGGCACACATAACTTACCTCAGAGATGGAAAGGGACTGCACATTCTTTATGTTTGGTACAACTAGACCATTTGGAGTAGCCATGGCAACTCCAATATTGTGGGAACCTAAAATAACCAACAACAATATCATAAAATGTGTATGTGTATATATAACGTTAATAGGCTGTAGTAGGAATTTAAAATCGGTAATCTCTAGACAAGTTTGTTTGTGCGTCCCAGGGAATTATTTGACCTTGAATGGTTTTCTACGAGAAGTCGAGATGAGTTTCTAAATGGCATTGATTTTATTAACTTGCTATATATTTTGTTTATGGGAATATATAAGAACACGTGAAAGTAAATAAAACTTAGCAGAAGTAATTACCAACCTTTAAGGATGACCTCAAGTGACTCCTCATTGAAGCAACTATTCATGAAGGGATATTTGCTCAAAGCCATTGAAAGTGACTTTATCAATAAAGGAAGGAAGGTGTACTTAACATTTGGATCAGAATTATTATTTTGAAAAGATGTTTTAAGATCCATAAGTTTATCACAATTTATCTCTTCTACATAATGAAAATGTGGGACTTTAGCAGCCATGGACATTGTTTTGACCATTGTTCTTTGGTATCCCCTGAAAGAATAAAAAATAATTAACTATGATTAGGATTCTAAGAAAACAATCTACAAAGTTAATCGGCCAAGCACTCAAATAAAAAGAATGAACCTAAAAGGAAATGCAATTTACAGTTACTAAAATTTAAGGATATATAAACCTAAAGTGAAAATAACTTTTGGATTGATCTAACAAAAGAAAATGTGTAGTTAAGATGTCTCAGGCCCATGGATGCCACCCCCTACCCCCATTTCAAAAGTAAATAGGTCATTCCTTCATCATGAACATGACTAGCATTACCTCAAGGGAACTGTCTTATCATCTAAGATAACTTCTGCAAATGCAAATGAGTCATTCTCTTCTTCTGAATCAGAACTATCACTGGCAGATGAAGCTTCAACAATCCCTTTCTGAGCAGAATATTTAAGCACATCTTCTTTCAATATTCTCCCGTCTTTACCACTTCCACGGACATCATTTAAATTTATACCATATTGTTTTGCATGGTGCCGTACAGCAGGAGTGCATAGAATTCCACCTATTGCATTTTCATTCTGCTTAGAATCAGGTAAGTTCATGTCCTTGGAACCTGGTGGCTTTACACTTTCCAAAACATCTGAACCAGGTGTTGAAACAAGACATTCCGCAACAGCCATCTGTAGTAGAGTTTCACCAACCTGGATTTTAAAGTTTATTAAATCTTAGAATTATGGTATACATTTTGAAACTGTCGAAAGGAATCCAAGAATAATGTTCTGCTTTAGAGTTCATTACTGGAAACAGAAATTTAAAATGATAACAAAATGTAAACATGCATATCGCTGTTCTACCTTTTCCCAAACTATCAAAAGCAAACTAAGAGATATATTCTGCTTCAAAGTTCATTACTTGAAACAGAAATTTAGAATGATATAACTAAATGTATAAATGCATATCAGTGTTCTTTCTTTTACAACTACCTTTTAAGTTCTAAAAGCTCCTATCTATTCTTTTGTCCTTTCTGCACCTTAATATATATATGAAACCTTCTGCTACTAAATATTTCATGGAAATGGACAATCAAATCCATCATTCTAGAATAGTGAAGAAAAATTTTAAGGTTCAGGATAATCTTCTTAGTAACCTATGTATTAGAAACAGTTTTCTTTTGATTTAAGGTTATCAGTTCCCTCTTTCATTACCCCTGCTACCAGACACCAGCTATCTCAATCGTTAAGCACATACATAAGAGCCATATCAGTAAAGCACATTATTATTTCCATTAACAGAATATTCACTACCCAAAAGTAACAATCAATACTCCACACCCTGTAAAAAAATAAAAATAAACCTTCACAATGCTGCCAGGAACATGGAGAATTTGAGCAACTTTTCCTTGGTAACGACTTGTTATTTCAATAGTTGCTTTGTCACTCTGAACTTCACAAAGTGGTTGAAACTCATCAACTTGATCCCCCTGCCAGGGTAACTCTATCAGGATTTATCAATATGGGTCCACTACACACATCACTGAATAAACTTGCAGACATATAAGTTAGACCAACAATACAAATAATTATACAGCTGTCTTTCCAAGTAGTTATAAATGTGCAACAGGACAAGAGTTCATTCATTTAAGGACTAAGAAGCCATATATTCCAAGTAACAATATTCAAAGCCAAACATGCCAAAATCAATGCAACATTTTAACACTAAAACAATCACATAAATTTCTGAAGATAGTTAAACTTCAGAGATACATATTTCAGTTGCATCTTATCCAGTAAGAAACACAGAAAAATTCATTAACAAAGCTTACGAACAACACCAAACATATAATATATACATGTGACGCATTAATTTAGCACAAACACAAGACATTTGGAATTTGGGATGGGGAAGATAAATCATCCACAATTTGGACCAAAGAACACCAATAAGAAAGCAACGATCCACAAGTTCAACGAAACACTTGCAATGTAAAGATCTGGGAATAAATGAATGCAACAACTACAATCTCTCACTCACCTCTTTTACAAACCATTTCAGGAGTTCACACTCAGCAATACCCTCACCTGTTTGTGCCAATGGTACATCAACTATTCCACCTGCCGGAACATCAGCTAAAGCATGACTTGAATAGCAACATCTACTCACTGTATATGGGACGCTGAACTATAATATAGAGAAAAAGAGTAGAGAAATTATACAATGAACCTTAATACGTTTCCATGAAACTATTTTGGTTGAATGAAAGTTTAAAAATATGTTGCTTTAAAACATCAAGCACATTAACATGCTTACTTCAATCGAGGTTCATGAGTGCCTCCCAAATCACACAATAAAATTCATAATAGAAAACCATTCCAACAATATAATCGAGCAAGCCCATATTACTGGTGACTGACCAAGCATAGAACAGTAGCCTATCAACTGAAGCATAGTTTAAAAACACAATCACAAAATAACGACTGGTTCTTCATTTACATTTGCCCTGCGTGATTACTGGAATGAATGAAAACAGAACACTTTTACGTGCATTGTTTTATTATAGTTCAAGTGTGTAAATTCAATGAAGAAGCACATAATCATTCAACTTCACTAGATGAATGACACAATTCCGATGAATCATAGCATGTTAAACTCTCTCTCGTATTTCTCTTTACAGTTTATAAGAGGGCATAACAAAGAACAATTGTCATCACAATTAGGATATCTCAGATTAAAAACGCAGAACTCAAATCTCACTATGTAAGTACAAATTAAACAACGGAAACAAGAAGAAATTATATCAAATAGAAACTACAAACAAACAGAGCTTGATCAAATCACTAGTAACAGAGGTAAGATACTCACGTCTTTTATATTATTATTAGCCGAACGAAACAACAGTGAAGCGTGTCCAGAGAAAAAACTTGGCACTGAAGGCTTTCGCACCGAAGAAGAAGACGGAATTGACTCAAGATAGGTGTACGGACACAGCGACGTCCTGCCTGAGCTGCAGTTCCGGCTACGGCTCCAGCTCCAGCTCCAAGGCCGCTTCTGCCAAATCTTTCTACCGATCATCATGCACGCACGATGTTTGAAACGGCTAACATTACTACCGTTTTGAATTTTGTCGTTTGAACACTAATATCATCCAATCTTCATCATCTCTGTGCAATGAATTTTGCAACTTCAATGGGATGGGACAACATTCAACAGTGAGGTTAGAGAGACTCATTTAATAATACAGGTGGCTGAATCTGATCATCTTAATGGTTATGACGTGGAACATAATGTACTCCACGTCACCGTTATCCTAATATTATAAAATATATTTTCATCTAATCATGATCTTATCTTATGCAGTTGCTGGCTCTTTTTAAAAAAATAAGAAAAATCATTTTATGAATACCTAATTAATCACATTGAACCATTCTCCTTCATCATATCTCTTATAAAAATTATTATATTATTGCAATAAACCTTTTTCTCACGCTTTAGGGAACTACTATTACCACTTTGAATGATGTTTTTGTGAATTAAATATACGGTTTAAGGAATAAAGAAAATTTTGAATAAGTGTCAATTATTTATTCAAATTATCTTTTCTACTATTCACACGTTTATATTTATATGGACAAAAATCATGTTTACAAGGCTCATGGACCAAACCTAGGTCCTGTAAACTATCTTGTGCCATCATTTGAACTGATCCAAAATTGCCTTCTGACATCTTAAATGACTGATTCTCAACAAACTTCGAATATTCCAACCTCGAATATTTCAAAGGATGGGAGGGTTCGGAGGACCAACAATACTCCCTCTAAACTCTATAAATACACACTCTCCAATACAAGAATAGATGAATCCTTATAAGTATTGAACATGTACTAAAATACTCTCATAAACTCTCTCATTCTCTAAGACATTTCGACGACCGTTTCTTAAAAAATCATACCACCTCTTTGGAGGACCGACATTGGCATTCATACGCCTATACCATCACATTGTTTTCTCACACAACACAATTTATTTTCTATTTCTCTTTAGACTTCGATCATGTTTCTAACTTAGGTGTTGGAGTCTACCCAGACAACGACATCATCCTCATGTCAAGGATTCCTGTTCCTCTCTTTTCTCTTGTTTCACAGGTCGCCATGTCCCAACTTCCATGATTGTGGATTCGGAGCATCTACAAGACTACCACATCTAACTACAAAATCTCTTATTTAGAGATGGTGACAGGTCATTAACTCTGTTGCAATAATATGAATGGTGTATTATATGGGCCTAAGTTCGAACCATCTATCAAAGTTAGGGCTTTTAAAAATTGGGTTTAGTCCAAATGTTATGGACCATTTCTTCAAAAGAAAAAGCCCACGATGTAGCACGACAGATCAGATTCAGAACAAAAGAACTGGATAGACATCAGATGCTTGCCACACCCACACGTGCTCTAGCGTAAAATAAGTGACTCCCTCAAGCCTCATCACAATACAAGCTTATGATTCGTAACCAGAATGTATCTTAAAAAATTGAAAATTTCTCTAACAAATCACAAGTTCATCCTATTAATTTGCTTTAATTTCGGCTGAATAAAGTAATTAACCCACTTTAATCACCCGTGAATGTGCATATGTAATACTTTAAATTTTATATTAAGATCCCATTTCTTTAAATCATACAAGAAATCTTCTTTATTTTCACCATAATTATGGAGACTTAGTTAAATTTACAATTTAATTGTTTGGTCAAATGCATTGCATCATACCATACTTAATTTTTAATTTCCAGTGATGGGAGGAATTGGGCTGATTAGATGCTCAATCACTAATCACTATTATGAATACTGGCTTAAATTATTAAAGGGTCTTTCAAGTGGGAGTTGTTAAATGTTGGTGTAGGAACCAACCCCTGGGTGAGGGTCGAGTAGTTTGATAGAGACTGTTTGATATATTACTCAAGAGATCTTGACTTCGAGTCTCTCTTCGGTTGCTAATAGGGGTGGCTACTGGAGTTCTTATTTGACCGGTAGTTTCAGGGTCCCGAGAGATTAATTGAGATATACGTAAACTGATCAAAACACCCTGATCATTAAAAAAAAAAATTGTTGTTGTATTGGGTAGTGAAATGACTAACAATTAAGTCGGTTTTGATTGATTCCTTTAATAGAAAAATAACCCAAGAGGAATAGACGACCAAATTGGTGTGTTTATTAGCATATTAATAAAAGACTATTAATTGTTAAATTAAAATCAGAGATGACATGATCGATCATCGAAAGAGCTTAGCTTTAATGGATTGTGACTTAATGACCTTTCTAATATTCAAGAATCAATGTTTATTGTTGAAAGCAGTGAGACATTCGGACCCATTAATATACTCACCTTTCATACCTATTAATGATGGCATTGAATACAATCTCCAATATTCAAATTATTCTTCAACTTACAATAATATCTTTCATCACAAGAGATCCATAGCAACGGACATATTATATGCAACATATATTATTTGTCTCCAAATATTATCTCTTTACAAGAGATCCATAGAAACAGATATATTAATGCAAATCAAATTCTAAGACTACTGTTATTTTATTACTTTTCTTGTGTATTTTTCAAGTACAAACGAACTCAAATCTTGGTACAGACGAGACAATTTTTACAGTAGGAAGTAGAGTGTTCAAAGATCCCTTCATCAGGGTGAGAGACTTGTTTATATTATATTGTCTTGGTGGACTTACAGATAAAATAACCTTAACATGAAGTGACAAAAGATCTAGCCCGAGCTTACACATGAAGTAATCCTCACATAAGGTGACATGCGGTCTAACAGGCAGCACAAATTGATGCTTACCAACAAAGTAACATTTGATAAACTTACAAGTAAAGTAGCCATTTAACGGGATGACACGCGGTTTGACCCATTTTTATAATGCATCCTTGGGACACGTGACGTGAATTCATGCAGGATGGATTTACCTCACAACATCGAACATTTTTAGCTCAATGAAATATAAAATCAAAGCTGAAAAACTTTAGTTACTCCCTATATTTGCTTGATTCATATATAGTCTATTAATTATATTAAGGATAGATCTAATATACATATAAATTCTTATAGATAATGAAATTTTATAAACTCCCGACCCAAGTAATATATGCCTCTAAATTTTTGTCTTTTAACATATCCCTTGAGCCAAGAGTCAAAAATATAGTGCTGATGACTTAATTTTTCCCAAATTATACATGTGTTGCTGCTCATGAAAGGACGAGAGTTCTAATTGGGAAGATCAATTAAATAGGGGTTATGGTAATGGTCAACAAAAGATTTAATGTTAGACCAATATTAATTCACAATTTGACTCAAAAGATCCGCCCCTAGTATTAATTAAACAGTAATCTTATTATTATTATTCATTGAAGTTCAAGAGACCAAATAATGTGGCTGACGGATGGATCCAGATCTCGTTTAATGCCATAAAGATTCTCTCCACTATGATTTTTATTTGCAAATTGTAGGGATATCGTTATACAATCATAGTTAGGGTTTAAAATATATTAAAGCATGTTGACTAAAGAGAATTAGTGCTATATCTAGTAAGAAATGTCAAACTCATGGACCCCCATTCAAGATTATTACCCTAACATCCACTCATTCTTAAAACAATCTACCGACTAATGCGAAATCGAATAAGTAAACACACAGAAATATTAAACTAGTAAAAAGAAAGAAAACATTTATAATTTATTCTGGTTCACCTAATAAAAATGTTACGTTCAACATAATCAATATTTTTTTTACAATGAATTTATTTTTTCTATTATTTGTTATCACACTCGTACAAAAGAATAATAAGTTTATATACTAGATTTAATAAGAAAAAAGAGGATACCTTTTCCTAGGCTCAAAGTCAATTATGAATTCAATTACTTGGAAAAATCCTAAATCCTACAACAGGATCCTCGAATGCATCTGTCTCATCCTTTATTATTGAAGTGGTCGACAACTCCAACAATTCTCCCTTCATCCAACTTGGTTTTTTTACTTTGAATTTATATATTTGTGTTCATCACTCGAAGAATTCTGCATTTCTAATGACGCTTTAATCACGGAAACAAGATCATATACTGAATCAAATAAGCAAGCAACATGTGTATATTTATATATATATGAAAGTGGGGCATGATGAAATTAAGACTGGTTGGGGGAGGGCGTGCAAGTGTTGGAGAATTTGCTTAAGCAACGAAAGAGAGATGATAGGATCTGTAATCTGATTGGTTATTTGTGATATCTACACACTGATTTGATGCGGGGAAAGATTGATGAGATTTCTTTGTCATACATTGCGGGGAGAAGTGAGAAAGGTTGTTTGCTGTTCGTGTTCTTCCATACAATTGCCTGAGAATTTGGGACAAAATAGGCAACAGCACAGCAACATATTATACAATCTCACCAAATGAACATATATAAAAATGATAAAACCAGTAGAGAGAGATGTGACTAGTTGGATACGCCGTCGTTTCTCTAGTCTAGATTATGTTGGTTGAACTATAATCTCTTAGTGATTGAAATATAATTTGGTACTGTCCACAGAGATTAGATTATTATCGAAAGTAGGTGTAATAATAATTGTGGATAAAGATTGATTCCTTTAGTCATTTGGTATAACTAAATGCACATGCACGGTTTCATTTAAGTGTGACAGCAAGATAATTTTCATACTTAGAGAAATTTCATTTCACATAAACACAACATGCGTTTAGAAAGAAAGAGAGAGAGGGTTTGTATTATTAATTGGATAAACCATCAATTAAGTTAGTTAAATGTTTCATTCATGAGACATTCAATTATTAATGGAAGAAATCAATAAGTCCTGGTAAAAAGTTTGACAAAAACTATCTTTGGGTGATCGAGTGGTTCGATAGGGACTATTAAGTGTATTATTCAAGAAATCTTAAGTTTGAGTCTTTCCTCGGTTACTAATAAGGAAAACCATTAGAGTTTTTACTCAAGCCGATAGTTTCAAGGTTCCAGAGAATTAATTGAGATGCACATAACTTTTGATAAAGATGATTAATTAATTAATTAACATTTTATTGAGCTCCCAAATGAAAGCAGAAAGCCAGAAGAAAGTATTGATATTAGTCGTAAAGGCACGGTATATTTTGACAACCAACCAAAGATATCATAACAATCACTAGCAAATTACTGCCTTAATCAGCTGCTATTGACCAGTAATTTAAACTAAAGTGAATGTGAATCCATTTTAAGCTCTCAAACTTTCTGAATTTGACCATGACTAGGAATTTCTTGGTTAATTAGTTAGACACGATTCAATTCAAAATAATGGGAAGGAATCGAGCACATGAAATGAAGACAACGGTCCTCTTTGCACATGACTTTTCACTTGAGTAAATATAAGAATGTTTATTTTGTCACTAATTAAAAGAAGAAATATTCATTAGAGAGAGAGATCCATTCTTCCTTACCAGTGAACTGTTTACCTTGACCTGCCTCAAAGAAAACATTATAACAAGCAAACTTGTAACGTTTTTAAGGGGGTTAAGAGGATTGTATGGCTATCATTTTTAGTCTTTTTTTTTTTTTTAATGACAAGGGGTGTTCGGATTAGTTTACGCATACCTCTATTAATTTCTTGGGACATTGGAATTACCACTCAAATATAAGATTCAGTGGTTACCTCTATTAGCAACTGTGATGATTCGAACTCGAAAGATCATCTAAAGTTAGATTTTCTTTTACTCTTTTACTATGAGGCCACCAAATGGTGGTTGACTATCATTTTTAGTCGGCTATTAGTGATTGGAGGAAGCATAATAGGGAGAGAAGTAATAATTCGAAATTAGGATCAGAAAAATGAAGGTTAGAAAAGAAATTAGAAAACTGGCATCGAAAGGAGGCTGGCTGTAGTAGCTTTAATAGACAAGGTGCGTGCTACAATTGAAAACTTGGAAGGCTTTAGGTCCTATTGTTTTGGATCCATCGATAGATACGTGCATAAACATGTGAAATTTTTATTATCATTATTTTTTATTTCTATTAAAGAATATAAAAAAGCATTTTGCTTCTAATACAAACTAAAATGGAACTCTGTTTTATGAGGTGGACACTGAGAGAACTACAATCTATCCCTTCGATTGTTCATTTCATTGGCCCTAGTGATAAATAATGGACACTGAAAAGATGACCTGATACCAGCAGGAGGATATTTTTTCAAGAGCCCTCAAGAATCTTCATATCTTATCATCATCCATCTTCAATTTATCTCTTACGTACTAAATCAGTCGATATTAACGGAATAATATTAATATACCATTAACTCTCTTAAAAAGCTTTTGCCCACATGAACTTTCTGGCAAATATCAATACTTTAGAGAAAAATGGTAACAGAAACGAGTTAAACAATGGACATATTTAGATAAGAAGATGGATATATAGATATGAAGTCACCAATACGCTCACGTGGAGAGACGAATTGGGGTATAACATAATGCCTGATGTATGGAGAAAAAGAAAGTGGATATGTTGGAGCAAATTTGGGAAAATGACAAGGATAACTGGAACAGTAGGTTTGGCGAACTTCTGTTTTAGTATTATCACACGGTTAAAATAAGGTTTCTGTGAGGCTTTTTACATCCATCCATCCATCCATCTATCACTTTACAATATTTTGTATACAACACTATATGAATCTTTAACTTTATATATATATTTGTTCAATAATTATGAGCTTTTATATATGAATGAGAAATATCATACATTCACATTATGAACTCTAACCCCACCTCCCTCTCCAACTCCCTATAAAAGTCTTCTCTTTCTCTTCTCGAATTCACTTTACTCGCTCTCTCCCTAGCTGGCTCTTACATCTGCCACATTCTCTAAGTGTTTTTTCTACTGTAACAAATTCTTCACTCAATTTGCTTTAGAATAAACACTTGTCACTTGTAGCAAAACGAAATGAAGATGTTTGCAGCAGAGAAATCGCAAAAGTATCCGGCAATGCCAGAGGTATATATAAAATCTCAAACACTCCTATAGAGCAAGTTATCAGAACTACATATAATTTTTTTAAACTGTAAAACAACATTTATTTTTGGTTTCTTTTTTATTAATTTTGGTTCCATTTGTTTTTTTCTTCTTTTTCTTTTTCTTTGCAGGTAGTCGAGGAGCTAAAGACAATATCAGACATAGGTTTGCCAATAGTGGCTATGAGCTTGGTGGGGTATCTGAAAAATATGATTTTAGTTGTGTGCATGGGAAGACTTGGAAGCCTTGAACTCGCAGGCGGGGCTTTAGCCATCGGCTTCACAAACATCACCGGCTATTCGGTTTTATCAGGTTTGGCCATGGGGATGGAGCCCCTTTGTGGCCAAGGTTTTGGTTCAAAAAACCTGACCTTAGTATCTCTCACTCTAAAGAGAACAATTCTTATGCTACTTCTTGCTTCAGTAGCTATTGGATTGTTATGGCTTAACCTTGAACCTCTCATGCTTGTCCTCCATCAGGACCCCGATATAACAAGAGTTGCTAGCATTTATTGTCGCTATGCCATCCCAGACCTCATCGCTAATAGCCTTCTTCATCCTTTACGTATTTATTTGCGTAGTAAAGGGACAACATGGCCACTAATGTGGTGCACCTTACTCTCAATTGTTTTTCACCTCCCTATTACTATTTTTTTGGCCTTCAATCTTGGTCTTGGTGTGCCTGGAATCGCAATTTCCAATTTCATTTCCAATTTTAACACCCTTTTCTTCCTTGTTTGTTACATGTACTATACTCGCACCCCAAATGAACCAGTATGTACACCATTAACAACTGATCAGTCTTTGCTACTTTCTTTAAATAATTCTTCATTAGGGGACGAATGGAGAATTCTTCTTCAACTCGCCATACCAAGTTGTTTAGCTGTTTGTTTAGAGTGGTGGTGGTATGAGTTCATGACCATTTTAGCCGGGTATTTAATCAATCCTCGCGTTGCTCTTGCAACATCAGCTTTAGTGATACAAACAACATCGCTAATGTACACATTGCCAATGGCTCTAAGTGCATCTGTATCGAGTCGAGTAGGGAACGAACTTGGAGCGGGGAGGCCAGAGAAGGCGCGTTTGGCCACAGCGGTAGCGATAGGATTAGCCTTATTTGTGTCAGTATTCGGGTTGCTAGGGACAACTCTCGGGAGAGAAGCATGGGGGAAAGTTTTCACTAAAGATAGCGAAGTTCTTGAGCTAACTAAGACTGTCCTACCCATTATTGGATTATGTGAGCTAGCAAATTGTCCACAAACCACAAGTTGTGGGATTCTTAGAGGAAGTGCTAGGCCCGGAATTGGGGCAACCATAAACTTTTACTCATTTTACTTGGTGGGTGCACCATTGGCGATAGTTTTAGCCTTTGTTTGGAAATTAGGCTTTGTGGGTCTGTGTTATGGGCTTCTTGGGGCTCAAATTGCATGTGTAATGTCAATTTTAACTGTGGTGTTCAACACAGATTGGGAAAAAGAGTCGATCAAGGCCGCAGACCTGGTGGGCAAAAGTAACACTTCGGCACATGCAGACCGAACAGTCAAATGTGAAGAAGGTCTTGTTGGTTTCCTTAAAGAAGTTGATTTTGAAAAGTGAAATAGAGACTTGGCTTGGAGGTAACACATACTAAAAGATACAGCGGCCATGCATTGACAGGACAAAATTCAAATGACTCTTTTTATCTCTTGATGATTATTTCCCATACTCATTATATGTATGTGTTTGTTTTGTCATTTTCTTATTTTTTGTCCTTTACTTTTCTTTTTTCTATACACCTATGTCACCACTCACCACCTTACGTTGGATTGTGAAACCACATATCGGTTTTCTTTTTTTCCAACGTTACAATCACTATTGTTGTAATATAATAATATAATTGTAGTGACTTCTGTAATATTGTGCACTCTTTCCTTTTATAACTTAATCAATCTATTGGTTCTCATTAGAAATGGTTGAACCTACTTGTTTTAGATATCTTAATGAAAGCCTTAGCGTATACCAATTGATGATATCGTAACCTAACATAAAATTTTGTTCACATGTTTTGACTTTTGATAAACATGGTGAGTGCATATGCATGTGTTCACAACTGCATACATGTGCTCTGCACATGCATTCATTCATGCTCACACATGATATCTCTCTTTGCCAAGGTTTTCCGACGTTCAAACCAAATCATAATCAAATAAAACTCATACACTGTACCAAGCTCTAGTTGTTCGATGTGGAATTGTTTTGTTTTATTTAACCTATTTGCTATATATATAACTAGCCATTTAATTGAATCTAATTAATGGAAATTAAGTACTGATCCAGCTCGTATTTGATTGAATCCAGCTCCCATGACGTCCAAGAACATAACGCGTCTACTCCACTGTGATTTCTGGTACTGATTTTCAGGACTCCTAATTATTTACCCAATATCTCTTGCCCTTCTCCATTTTATTAATATTTATATATGCCAGTAAAAATGTATAACAGTCAATGTTCTGTCAAACATTTCTGCTCGGTTCATCATTGATCATAAATCAGAACAACGAAATGAAGTTGGTCTATACTTTTCAAACTTTTACAGAAAAGGCTAGCTATGGTAAGAAATCTATTCTCTGCCGTTCAATTAAATAACCGAATGAATATATCAACTCTCCGAACCCACCAAACCCGACCGATTTTGTTTATAGGCAGTGAATAATTTTTCAATAAAAATGAAAAAAACACACCAGTTGGTCCCCAAGTATCAAGCTCTATGTACGTACTGATTTTCTAACCCAAAAGTGTTTAACCTTTGATATGACTTCACGGAACATTCAATCAATCTCGATCGCAAGCTAGCTACAGTTTCCGCTTGAGATAATGGACTTGTACTATCAAGTGTCCTTTTGCGGGTCTCTATACAACTAAGAGAAAGGGACATCAGAGATGCAAAGTACCGTAAATTATTCAGGCTAAGATGAATTGCAAGGATGATAATTTTTTTCCAATTTTTGTTATTTGTTTAATTCTTTGTTCCTCCTCAATGAACCATCTCCGTAGCTTTCTTTCTTCATTTTCTTTTTTCTTAATATTCATGGCTAATAACAAGAATCTCCACTGAAAATTTTATCTTTACAATGACAGCCTTCAAGCCCATAAAAGAATTAAAGTTTCAAAACATAAGAGTACGTAGTAGATCCAGATGAACAGGATTGCAGATAACCAGTTATTGTCGAAACAACCAGAAGCAAGCTCACATTCAGAAATTGCCAATCTAAACTAGCTCGAGTGTAGCCAAGGATTCGAAGATATAATTTGTCAAATCAGAGTGGAAACGTGATGGTGTTTCCCTTCTGGTAACAAATAGACCATCAGAATCTTAGTCCAAATTTTATTATTGCTTGCTCATGACGTAGTGTGCATGACTCCTGAAAGTGACTTTTAAACTTTAAACTGAACTCATGCAAAGCAATAGGGTTCAAACGCTTTATAAGTTTGAAATTAAAACTCTTTGCAATCCAACATTAAATTTTCCCAATTCAAATTACACTAATTTGCTAAAATTATGGATTATTTCGAAATTAAAAGCTTTATCCCTTGCCACTCGATTTGTGAATTAGGTCAAAGAGGAGACTCTCTCTCAGTTATTGGGTTGTCTGTTAAAAAAAATGACAAGCTAGGGTTTCACTTTGAATAGTTTATTCTCTGCTATGGAACTGCCAATGACTAGGGTTTTTGAGTAGTTTGTTCTTCGTTGTGGAGAAAAATACCTCAACAATGGATGTCAGGTCCATCAATGTTCGCCTTTGAACGAGGAATTAAAAAGAATAATTGTCCTTATGAGTTGACTAACATTCATTTTTTCAACTTTTCCTGTTAATTAGCTTTTCAATCAGCCAACCTTTTCAGCCAATCTTTTCAGCCTTTACACTAGCAGGAAACAGTATAATGGCTGAAAACTTCCAAGAAGCACATTAATTGTTCATACAGTGCATCAATTATTGCACCATACAAACACATACGTATGCCCACCTGCAATCTCTTACTGCTTTAATTAATTTTGTCCTCACAAAAGAATGGAGCTCGATAGCTTCTGTGAGATAGATGCCTTATCTTCAACTGACTGCCGACCCTTTAAAATCATGTGATGTTTAAATGAAACTTTATGGTTCATTTTCAAAGGATCTGTGATCATGATGATCATCACCGCTATTGAGTTAATCAGAAACTGGATGTAATCGTACATATTAAGAAACAACTCCTTGCAGTACATTATGAGATTTTGTGGTTAATAATAAGTGAAGTACTGAAGTACTGGATGATGTGCCTTTTCTTCATTGAGCAATCTGAAAAAGACGTAAAAAGTTTATGTTATCAAGTTGATGGTGGGCTATAGAGTGTTGATTTTCAGAGAATGTAAAAGTAAAGTAAGTGTAGTAAATGAGCTGATCACCTTCATTGAATGTGACGAAGTGTTTATATACAAACCACATAATTTAGTTAACTTCTTACTAGAATTAATTAACTATACACAACTAACTAACTAATTAACTACAGCTAACTAACTATTCAACAACCTAACTAATTAAGCTAAAGTTTAGCTCATACAATAGCATGCAGTAGCTCATACAGTAGCTTTACAGTACAGTAGCTCATACATTCAACACCCCCCCTCAAGTTGGAGGGTGGTAAAGGTCTAACACACCCAACTTATGTAGCATAAGGTGATGTTGTTGCTTGTTAAGTGCCTTAGTAAACACATCTGCTGGCTGTTGAGATGAAGATACATAAGCTGTGATGATGAGTCCACTCTTAATTTGTTCTCTGACTATATGCCAATCTATATCAATGTGTTTTGTTCTTTCATGGAATATGGGATTGGAGGCAATGTAATTAGCTGTCTAGTTGTCACAGTGTAAAGGTACTAGAAGCAAATTTGTAAAGCCTAACTCTTTGAGAAGCTAAACTATCCAAATTACCTCACATACTGTTGACGCCATTGCCCTGTATTCAGCTTCTGAAGATGACTTAGAGATGGTAGCCTGCCTCTTGGATTTTCATGAAACCAGTGATGAACCAAGGAAAATATAGTATCCAGTAATAGATTTCCTAGTCATTAAGCAAGATGCCCAATCTAAATCACTATAGGCAAACAATTTTAGGGCATTGCATGCTGGAAAAAACAAACCTAAACCTGGTGTTGACTTTATATATCTAACTACCTTTAGACCTGGCAAAACGGGTGGGTGGGCCGGGTAAAACGGGTACGGGTCTTATACGGATGGATATATACGGGTCCAATTTTTTGGACCCGTGCCCTACCCTATACGGGTACGGGTGGACCCGCGGGTGGACCATATGCCAGTAAAATGTATAACAGTCAATGTTCTGTCAAACATTTCTGCTCGGTTCATCATTGATCATAAATCAGAACAACGAAATGAAGTTGGTCTATACTTTTCAAACTTTTACAGAAAAGGTAGCTATGGTAAGAAATCTATTCTCTGCCGTTCAATTAAATAACCGAATGAATATATCAACTCTCCGAACCCCCAAACCCGACCGATTTTGTTTATAGGCAGTGAATAATTTTTCAATAAAAATGAAAAAAACACCAGTTGGTCCCCAAGTATCAAGCTCTATGTACGTACTGATTTGATATGACTTCCAGAACATTCAATCAATCTCGATCGCAAGCAGCAGAGAAATCGCAAAAGTATCCGGCAATGCCAGAGGTATATATAAAATCTCAAACACTCCTATAGAGCAAGTTATCAGAACTACATATAATTTTTTTAAACTGTAAAACAACATTTATTTTTGGTTTCTTTTTTATTAATTTTGGTTCCATTTGTTTTTTTCTTCTTTTTCTTTTTCTTTGCAGGTAGTCGAGGAGCTAAAGACAATATCAGACATAGGTTTGCCAATAGTGGCTATGAGCTTGGTGGGGTATCTGAAAAATATGATTTTAGTTGTGTGCATGGGAAGACTTGGAAGCCTTGAACTCGCAGGCGGGGCTTTAGCCATCGGCTTCACAAACATCACCGGCTATTCGGTTTTATCAGGTTTGGCCATGGGGATGGAGCCCCTTTGTGGCCAAGGTTTTGGTTCAAAAAACCTGACCTTAGTATCTCTCACTCTAAAGAGAACAATTCTTATGCTACTTCTTGCTTCAGTAGCTATTGGATTGTTATGGCTTAACCTTGAACCTCTCATGCTTGTCCTCCATCAGGACCCCGATATAACAAGAGTTGCTAGCATTTATTGTCGCTATGCCATCCCAGACCTCATCGCTAATAGCCTTCTTCATCCTTTACGTATTTATTTGCGTAGTAAAGGGACAACATGGCCACTAATGTGGTGCACCTTACTCTCAATTGTTTTTCACCTCCCTATTACTATTTTTTTGGCCTTCAATCTTGGTCTTGGTGTGCCTGGAATCGCAATTTCCAATTTCATTTCCAATTTTAACACCCTTTTCTTCCTTGTTTGTTACATGTACTATACTCGCACCCCAAATGAACCAGTATGTACACCATTAACAACTGATCAGTCTTTGCTACTTTCTTTAAATAATTCTTCATTAGGGGACGAATGGAGAATTCTTCTTCAACTCGCCATACCAAGTTGTTTAGCTGTTTGTTTAGAGTGGTGGTGGTATGAGTTCATGACCATTTTAGCCGGGTATTTAATCAATCCTCGCGTTGCTCTTGCAACATCAGCTTTAGTGATACAAACAACATCGCTAATGTACACATTGCCAATGGCTCTAAGTGCATCTGTATCGAGTCGAGTAGGGAACGAACTTGGAGCGGGGAGGCCAGAGAAGGCGCGTTTG